CCCCGCGTCTCCAGTAGCCCAGTCCCCGATAGCAGTACGGTCCGCTGGTCAGCTTAACATTCAGCCAGGGGTCTCAAATCTCTCTGGCTCTGCATCAGCTCCTGCTGGGAGCTCGGATGAGCTCATCCAGGACTCCACGGCTCCCACGCCGCCATCTACCTCGTCAGCTGGAGGGTCCGAGGGGCCCGTTCAGCCTCCTGTCTCCGTTGGAGGGTCCGAGGGGCCCGTTCAGCCTCCTGTCTCCGCTGGAGGGTCCGAGGGGCCCGTTCAGCAACCTTCCTCGTCAGCTGGGGGTTCAGGAGAACCGCACCAGCCTCATGCCACGTCTGCTGGGGGGCCCGAGCCGCCCGTCCAGCACCATGCCACCTCAGCTGGAGGGCCCGAGGAGCCCATCCAGCCACCTTCTGCTTCTGCTCCTCCTAGTCCAGCTCCAGCCCGTGCTTCGTCAGCCGCAGCTCCAGCCCGTGCTTCGTCAGCCGCAGCCTCAGAGCCTTAATCCTCGCCCGGTCCGGCCTCTGCATCAGCTGCTCCTGCTCCACCTGGTCCGGCTCCGGCTTCAGCCTCAGAGTCTTCAGCCTGTGCTTCGTCTGGTCCAGCCTCTGAGTCTTCAGCCTGTGCTTCGTCTGGTCCAGCCTCTGAGTCTTCAGCCTGTGCTTCGTCTGGTCCAGCCTCAGCCTGTGCTTCGTCTGGTCCTGTGCCCACCGGGCCATGGCCAGCACGCCTGACACTGGAGAGCCGCCGCTGCCTTCCGCGCGGCCGGCCTCCTGAACTGCTCCGTCGTCTCCCTCGCCGCCGCTGCTGCCTTCCGCGCGGCCGGCCTCCTGAACTGCTCCGTCGTCTCCTTCGTCGCCGCCGCCATTGCCTTCCGCACGGCCGGCCTACGGACCAGCTCTGCCACCTGTGCCACCCGCCTGGTCGGCCCCCCGACCGTGTGACCCGTGAACTCTTGTGCCTGTGGGCTCTGGGTCGGCCCCCTGAACCTTATTTGGACTACGGTCATGTGCTCCTGTGTTTTCTGTTGTTTGTTTTGTTTCCCGTTCTGGTCCCTCCGTCCTGGTCCCCGCCTCCCGCCCTGGGTGGGTTGTTTTCTGTTTGGTTTTGTTTCTCGGGTTTGGGCTGTCGGGTGCCAGCCCTTTAGGGGGGGGTGATGTCATGGTCCTGGGCCATGTGGGCCCAGTATTCTTAGTTCCTTGTATTTTTGTATTTCGTTCCTTATTTAGGCCATGTTTTCTGAGTTGCCCTGTTGTGTTGTTCCCTAAGTGTTTTCCCTTCATGGCTTTTACCCCCTGTGTGCCCCTCTGTGTATCTGTGAGCCCTCGTCTCTCCTTATGTTTTATTCCATGTTTCCCCTGCCCTTTATGTCTAAGTTCTCCCCGTGCTCTCTCTCCCCCCTGTGTGCCCTCTATGTATTTATGAGCCCTCGTCTCCCTTTGTGGTTGTTTCATGTTTCCCCAGCCCGTTATGTCTGTGTTTTCCCCGTGCTCTCTCTCCTCCTGTCTGAACCTCTGTGCCTGTACATGTCATGTTCAGTTCACCCCGCCCTGTCTCGTTATGATTATCAGTATCACCTGTGTTCCCCGTGTGTGCCCACTTTCCTCGTTTACCCTCTGTGTATTTCTGTCTGAGTCTCCCTCTGTTCGGCGTCGTGTTCTCCCTCATGTTGTGTGTTATTCTCCCCGTGGTTCGGTTCCTTGTACATCTCATGCTTTAGTTTTCCCAGTTTTAGTTTATTTTGTATTGCTTCTCGTGGCCAGCAATAAAGCTGTGTTTTTGAGTTTATCCCCGTGTCTGTGAATCTGCATCTTGGGTCCTTCTCCTGCCTGCCACACAACATATCATGACAAATAGGATATTATGGTCGACAGTATCGAACACTGCACAGAGATGCGTTTGAGTCTGCAGTCACAAACTCTCACAGATAGTGTATGCAATGCTCGTTTTTTTCCTTCAAGAAATCGCGTGGCTTCATTTTGTGCCGTTTGCACAAATACATACTGAATGCCACATGAACATGTTAATAAGGGTGCACAATGGTATGGATGATGTAAGCAACAGTGACTCTTAAATGCTCTGAGGCTTTTTAAAAACCTTGATTATAATTATGAAGTCCTGATTATGTTTCCAAGTGAATAACTGTGACACAAAGTCGTTCAAGAGGCAAGCTTTAAAAGCTCAGACTTGGCACATACTGGTTTCTGGTACAGTTCACCCCTTGTGTGATTCATGTGACTGATATCTCTGTTTGAGGTGGTGCAAAGTAACTAGAACATTTTTTGTTTACACTTTGTCTACATTTACATTGACAGCTTTTTGTAAGTTTGCAGGCCGTGACTGCCCTACCTCTCAAGCCCAAGGTCCTCACTAAAGAATGGTTTCCCTCTTTCTGATGTGTTGCCAGATTGTTATTGCAGCTGTCTTCAGACAGGTTTAAGGAACCTTCGGTCCTTGGGCGAGACACTTCACCCGTTGCCTACTGGTGGTGGTCAAAGGGCCCAGTGGCCCCAGTGTCCAGCAGCCTCGCCTCTGTCAGTGCGCCCCAGGGCAGCTGTGGCTACAGTGTAGCTGCCATCACCAGTGTGTGAATGGGTGTGTGAATGACTGAATGTAGTGTAAAGCGCTTTGGGGTCCTTAGGGACTGAGTACAGCGCTATACAAATACAGGCCATTTACCATTTCCTGTTCTTTTTTAAATCTAACAGCTGACAAATACCACATATACTGTAATAATGAAAAAAAGCAGAACAAAACCTAAACATACCTAACAATAAAAACTAAACTGAAACAAACAAATCTAATCTATATTTTGTCTGACAGACATTCATGACTTTTTCTGTTGCCTTTTTTCCATTCATTATCTCTAACTCCTGTTAAAGAAAAACCATGAAAGAAAAATTAAGCTTTAGTGCCTAAAAAGCTTTTATTAAGCTCTTTATTTATTGAAGGACAAAGTATACCTGTGAACCAAAGCCATAAGAACATAGTGGGCCTTTCTCAATATGCGTACTTGTGCGTACTTGCGTTCTTGTGTACTCGTGATACGTCACCAGTCGGAGACCAAGTACTGTTCCAATTCGAAGTACGCATCAAGCCGAGAACGCGAAAAAGTCCCGGATGTGTTCTCGCTCCGCCCGTTTTATCGAGCATGCATCGGTGGTGACTTGTGTGGACTTGGTACAGCTAAATATCCCAGAATGCATTTCGTCCAAAACTCAAACGCGGCAATGGCGGACGAGCGGGGCTAAAACTTTTACATATTCCTCTTTCTGGGTCACAAAATAAACTTTTAAGTTATTTTCAAGCGAGAATGTAGCTGTGTGAACTTCAAATATCTGCTCGATTTATCAAGATATCATATATTTCCAAACGCGCTCCGATGTTTTCGGAGACGTCTGTGACCTGCCAGCTCCATAGCAGACCGCGAGGTCGAGGATCATTAGAGCCGGCGAGAACAGCGGACTCCCGGCACATCGTTTCCAACCCCCCCCCCCCCCCCCCCCCCCCGCGGTCTTTTCGCTACTCAGGTTAAACAAACCCCAGTAGCTGTCTATTTTATTGAGTGTCCACTAAAATAAAAATAAAAGCGTTCTAACATCTCACCTGCTTGTTTTTATTAAGGTATGTACACGTATGTACATGTACACTATTTTTATTAATAGAGATTTCACTACTGAGGTTAAACATGATGTATAAGTCACTTAGATCACTTCTAAATATTAATGTTTGGTTTATTTCAGTGTTTTATTTGTTCCTGAGTAAACCGGTTTGGCTGTGATTAAAGTTAAGCTTCATAACATATTACTCACAGTTAAATTAAGAGGGGACGGCAGTAAAAACTCCCATCCGTACTCCCGTGCGTTCTCGCCGAGAACGCGAGTACGTACTCGCCGAGAACGCGAGTCCGTACTCCCCGAGAACGCGAGTCCGTACTCCCGTGCATTCTCGGCGAGTACTTGCCGAGAACGCACGGGAGTACGGACTCGCGTACTTGAGAAAGGGCCAATATCTTTATTTTGTAATCTGAAAAAACAAAGTCAGGCCATGGAGCAACCACCGTGTCCCTATAATTTGCTGGATTTGCAGTAAACATGGGCATCCAGTAAGTGCAGGAGTAAAATGTTTTACAGTGAACTAATGAGACCTTTGTGCTTTTGAAGTGTTCTCTTAGTCTGTGAGTAAACCGCCAATAACACCTGTGGCTACCAAACACGAGGAAAGACAAAAAAGACCTGTTTGACAACATCTGGGCATGCCCTCGCTCATCTGCACTCTGTTTCTGAGTGCTGTCTTTCATCTGGCAGCAATGTCATCTACCAATCAGAAGGTTGGTGGTTCAATTCCTGGGTCCTCCAACTCCTCAGGCAACATACTGAACCTGAGGTTCCCCTGATACATCAATGCGTGTATGAATGTTAGATGAACATGGCTTTGGCATATAAAAAGTGCTGTATGCTTGAGTCCATGACATTTGTAGCAGGAAAACACTTGAAAGTTGGAATTGAGTACACAAGCACTATATCTGTTCCAGTCTGTTGGCACTTGTTAAAGCATAAACAAAGAAATAATAAAGAGAAGGGAAAACATCGACAGATTCTCAACTTGGTGATTAACCTCCACAACTTTGCTACACTTGTTCTTGTATAATGTATCTAAGAAGTTAGGGACTTGTTATAATGTTATAAATGTTATATGTTATATAAATGTTATAAAACAAGGTGGCACCTCAGGCAGAAGAGGTGGTGGGACACGCCCACACAGGCACCTTGAGGAGGAGGCCCTGCTAGGGCCGTAACAATTATACACAAAATGTAAACACAGAGTGTGGGATATCTTTAACGCCACTCTGCCACACCACTATGAGTCATGTAGAAAAAAAACAACCATCATAACCGGCAGACAAAAATACAGAAGCGAGTCTGGTGTTTGTCTCCTCCTCCAAACAGAAAAGAGGAAGGACGACATTGCACATAAAAACCAGCTACACATTAGTAAATTGAGCTGTGTGTTCACAGAACTTTCCTCCACACATCAGGAAGACTCTAAAGCAGGTGAGTGCTGAAGATGACTGTAGTTACAGGACAAGATTTGAGTTTACTCTCGTTATTTAGCCTTTTATTAAATTATTCTTTCATCATCACATAATATCTGAGCACGTGGATGATTCTTTTTCATGTTGTTTGCAATCATTTCATGGATTTTTGCTTATTATTTTCACTCTCCCTATTTTATTTCAGTTTGCAAAGCACCAAATACAATGGCAGGTAAGTGCATTTAAATATTTGTCAGAACAACTGATCACTTTTATAGTTTTTTGCAGAAAAAACAATCACTTTTAAAGACGTTTGCATAATTAGAGGGCATTCTTCTTCCTGTCTACACCTACAACCAATAAACATGCCCACCTCATGTTCTCTATCATATCCAGACTATCTCTCCATTCTGTTATATAATGCATATGTACAGGGTATGAACCCCCTTGGACGTGGCGTGTGGATACTTCTTTAAGACACTCTGGCTCCACAGCTTACGTATAAAACACCTGCGCAGACATGAAACCGGTGATTGTTTGATTGGAACGTGTCTCCAAGCGGCATGAAGGTGGAGAGATAGTCTCTCACTCAGAGGACCAGGGTTACAGTGTAACCCTACGTTTCCTCTAAGACTTAAAGCTTGTTTGGTTTGCAGATGAGAGCTTCAAAAAGGAGTTTCTTGATACCCACAATGCCTATAGGGCACAGAATGGTGCACCACCACTGACCTTTAATACTGAGCTGGATGACGCAGCTCAAAAATGGGCCAATCAAATGCTGGCAAAAAAGAAACTTGGTCACAGTGACACCGATGATGGAGAGAACGTCTTCTATGCATGGAGCTCTGAAACCAAGACGCTAACAGGTAAATGATTCTTTGCAGATAACTCCTTTGTCCACCTCTTCACCTGTCAGAAACAGGTCGCTTTGTTATCACAATGAATTAAAGTCTCACTAATCTTTAAAAGAAACAGATTCCACTGTATCTCTTCTCATTTCAAGTAAACAATTAGAAATGTTCATCCTTATTTCATTTTAAAGTTTCTGAGCTATAAAACCCGTACTCCAACCACCAAATTAACTCTTTATGTTATTTTTCTCTGTCTCCATGTTTCAGGAAAAGAAGCTGTGGATTCATGGTACAGTGAGATCAAGGATTATGACTTCAAAAAGTCTGGACATCAACCCAAGACGGGTAAAACACAGCCCTCCTGAAAAGTTCTGCATATACCTGTACTGTATATACCTGCGTTGCTAAAGTATTTGTCATTACAAGATCAGGTCATCATCAGTAAGTAGTATGTTTTTACACATTTTCCTTTTTCCACTAGGTCATTTTACTCAGGTGGTGTGGAAAAGCAGCACTCAGCTGGGTGTGGGCATAGCCACTGATGGCAATACGGTCTTTGTGGTTGGGCAGTACCGCCCAGCTGGTAACATTACCAATGCAGGATACTATCAGAAAAATGTCCTCCCAAAAGGAACAGGTAACACTCACACACATTTTGATGTTCTACTTAAAGTGTTGTGTTTGTATCAGATTATTATTACAGATTAAGAAAGACGAATATATAAAGTACTAAATTTATACTTTGTCAAAAAAAAAATCAAAAGTATGTGTTGATTTGTTAGTTGTTGAAGCCTACCTTGAAACATTAAAGTGAGTGATCACTTTTCACATTAGTAAATTGAACTGTGTGTTCACAGAACTTTCCTCCACAAATGAGGAAGACTCTGAAGCAGGTGAGTGCTGAAGATGACTGTAGTTACAGGACAAGATTTGAGTTTACTCTTGTTATTTAGCCCTTTATTACATTACTCTTTCATCATCACATAATATCTGAGCACATGGATGATTCTTTTTCATGTTGTTTGCAATCATTTCGTGGATTGCTGCTTATTATTTTCACTCTCCCTATTTTATCTCAGGTTGCAAAGCAGCAAACCAGGTGACAGGTAAGTGCACTGACAGTGTTGGGAATGTTACTTTTAAAATGTATTCCACTGCAAAGAGAATACATGCACTAAATGTAGTTTGTAAAGTATTCTGTTAAGTTACTCAATGTGAGTAATGTATTCTGAATACTTTTGATTACTTGTGATGCTTTTTACAACTACATGGAGCTGTTTTGCAAAGAAGAATGGGCAAGGATTTCAGTCTGTAGATGTGCAAAGCTGGTAGAGACAGACCCTAAAAGTCTGGCAGCTGGAACTGCAGCAAAAGGTGGTTCTACAAAGTATTGACTCAGGGGGCTGAATAATTACGCACACCCCACTTTGCAGTCATTTATTTGTAAAAAATGTTTGGAATCATGAATGATTTTCGTTCCACTTCTCACGTGTGCACCACTTTGTGTTGGTCTTTCACGTGCAATTCCAATAACATTGATTCATGTTTGTGGCTGTAATGTGACAAAATTTGGGAAAGTTCAAGGGGGCCGAATACGTTTGCAAGTCACTGTATTACTATTACTGAAGGCTACTTGCCACCGAGCTAGCATTGCTAGCTGGCATTAGCTGAGGTTAGATTATAGACTGATTTCAGAACTGCACAGCTGGCAGGTTGTGAATACTAGCCATCAAGTCTAACAGTCTGCAGTCAATGAACTAACCTCAGGTAGCACCAGCTAAAAATGTTAGCTCAGTGGAGAGTAGCCTTCAGTAATAGTAATACATCACACAGCAGAAGTACATCGAAGATACTGAAGTGGCACATAACCGAGCTAACTACTCAACTAAAACAAGGTACTTGCAGTAGACTAACGATAGTTTTTAAAAAAGAACTTACTTCCAGATGTTTCTTTAGGTTGGAGTCTTTTGACGCTGACAGCAGCTTGGCTGCTAGCAAACAGAGTTTGCATTGCACGGTCAGATTTCATCCCTTTCTTCTTTAAATGTAAAACGGTGTCGGAATTTCCAAGTAAGAAATGCATTCCTGCTCGTGCACTGCTGGCTCTGTTGTGCAGGCTCCGGGTCCATTGTGTAACTGATGCCACCAACATTAACAGGACGCTTACACTAGAGCCTCTTATATCATATTTCGTCTGGGTTCCCAGCAATGCAAATTACCAAATTTTCACAGGGAATAGAGAGGGGATAGCCTAACATATGAAACAGGAACTGACCCCCATGTAATCCATTTATTCAACAAAGTAACTGCATTCTAATTATTGCCTATTTAGATGGTAACTGTAACGGAATACAGTTGATCATATTGTGTATTTTAAATACGTAATGTCGGTAAATGTATTCCGTGACTCATCAACACTGTGCATTGAATTATTTGTCAGAATAACCGATCACTTTTAAAGATGTTGCTTAATTAGAGAGCATTCTTCATCCTGTCTACACCTACAACCAATAAACATGCCACCTCATGTTTCCTCTAAGACTTAAAGCTTGTTTGGTTTGCAGATGAGAGCTTCAAAAAGGAGTTTCTTCATACCCACAATGCCTATAGGGCACAGCATGGTGCACCACCACTGACCTTTAATACTGAGCTGGATGACGCAGCTCAAAAATGGGCCAATCAAATGCTGGCAAAAAAGAAACTTGGTCACAGTGACACCGATGATGGAGAGAACGTCTTCTATGCATGGAGCTCTGAAACCAAGACGCTAACAGGTAAATGATTCTTTGCAGATAACTCCTTTGTCCACCTCTTCACCTGTCAGAAACAGGTCGCTTTGTTATCACAATGAATTAAAGTCTCACTAATCTTTAAAAGAAACAGATTCCACTGTATCTCTTCTCATTTCAAGTAAACAATTAGAAATGTTCATCCTTATTTCATTTTAAAGTTTCTGAGCTATAAAACCCGTACTCCAACCACCAAATTAACTCTTTATGTTATTTTTCTCTGTCTCCATGTTTCAGGAAAAGAAGCTGTGGATTCATGGTACAGTGAGATCAAGGATTATGACTTCAAAAAGTCTGGACATCAACCCAAGACGGGTAAAACACAGCCCTCCTGAAAAGTTCTGCATATACCTGTACTGTATATACCTGCGTTGCTAAAGTATTTGTCATTACAAGATCAGGTCATCATCAGTAAGTAGTATGTTTTTACACATTTTCCTTTTTCCACTAGGTCATTTTACTCAGGTGGTGTGGAAAAGCAGCACTCAGCTGGGTGTGGGCATAGCCACTGATGGCAATACGGTCTTTGTGGTTGGGCAGTACCGCCCAGCTGGTAACATTACCAATGCAGGATACTATCAGAAAAATGTCCTCCCAAAAGGAACAGGTAACACTCACACACATTTTGATGTTCTACTTAAAGTGTTGTGTTTGTATCAGATTATTATTACAGATTAAGAAAGACGAATATATAAAGTACTAAATTTATACTTTGTCAAAAAAAAAATCAAAAGTATGTGTTGATTTGTTAGTTGTTGAAGCCTATCTTGAAACATTAAAGTGAGTGATCACTTTTCACATTAGTAAATTGAACTGTGTGTTCACAGAACTTTCCTCCACAAATGAGGAAGACTCTGAAGCAGGTGAGTGCTGAAGATGACTGTAGTTACAGGACAAGATTTGAGTTTACTCTTGTTATTTAGCCCTTTATTACATTACTCTTTCATCATCACATAATATCTGAGCACGTGGATGATTCTTTTTCATGTTGTTTGCAATCATTTCGTGGATTGCTGCTTATTATTTTCACTCTCCCTATTTTATCTCAGGTTGCAAAGCAGCAAACCAGGTGACAGGTAAGTGCACTGACAGTGTTGGGAATGTTACTTTTAAAATGTATTCCACTGCAAAGAGAATACATGCACTAAATGTAGTTTGTAAAGTATTCTGTTAAGTTACTCAATGTGAGTAATGTATTCTGAATACTTTTGATTACTTGTGATGCTTTTTACAACTACATGGAGCTGTTTTGCAAAGAAGAATGGGCAAGGATTTCAGTCTGTAGATGTGCAAAGCTGGTAGAGACAGACCCTAAAAGTCTGGCAGCTGGAACTGCAGCAAAAGGTGGTTCTACAAAGTATTGACTCAGGGGGCTGAATAATTACGCACACCCCACTTTGCAGTCATTTATTTGTAAAAAATGTTTGGAATCATGAATGATTTTCGTTCCACTTCTCACGTGTGCACCACTTTGTGTTGGTCTTTCACGTGCAATTCCAATAACATTGATTCATGTTTGTGGCTGTAATGTGACAAAATTTGGGAAAGTTCAAGGGGGCCGAATACGTTTGCAAGTCACTGTATTACTATTACTGAAGGCTACTTGCCACCGAGCTAGCATTGCTAGCTGGCATTAGCTAAGGTTAGATTATAGACTGATTTCAGAACTGCACAGCTGGCAGGTTGTTAATACTAGCCATCAAGTCTAACAGTCTGCAGTCTATGAACTAACCTCAGGTAGCACCAGCTAAAAATGTTAGCTCAGTGGAGAGTAGCCTTCAGTAATAGTAATACATCACACAGCAGAAGTACATCGAAGATACTGAAGTGGCACATAACCGAGCTAACTACTCAACTAAAACAAGGTACTTGCAGTAGACTAACGATAGTTTTTAAAAAAGAACTTACTTCCAGATGTTTCTTTAGGTTGGAGTCTTTTGACGCTGACAGCAGCTTGGCTGCTAGCAAACAGAGTTTGCATTGCACGGTCAGATTTCATCCCTTTTTTCTTTAAATGTAAAATGGTGTCGGAATTTCCAAGTAAGAAATGCATTCCTGCTCGTGCACTGCTGGCTCTGTTGTGCAGGCTCCGGGTCCATTGTGTAACTGATGCCACCAACATTAACAGGTTAGCCTACACTAGAGCCTCTTATATCATATTTCGTCTGGGTTCCCAGCAATGCAAATTACCAAATTTTCACAGGGAATAGAGAGGGGATAGCCTAACATATGAAACAGGAACTGACCCCCATGTAATCCATTTATTCAACAAAGTAACTGCATTCTAATTATTGCCTATTTAGATGGTAACTGTAACGGAATACAGTTGATCATATTGTGTATTTTAAATACGTAATGTCGGTAAATGTATTCCGTGACTCATCAACACTGTGCATTGAATTATTTGTCAGAATAACCGATCACTTTTAAAGATGTTGCTTAATTAGAGAGCATTCTTCATCCTGTCTACACCTACAACCAATAAACATGCCACCTCATGTTTCCTCTAAGACTTAAAGCTTGTTTGGTTTGCAGATGAGAGCTTCAAAAAGGAGTTTCTTCATACCCACAATGCCTATAGGGCACAGCATGGTGCACCACCACTGACCTTTAATACTGAGCTGGATGACGCAGCTCAAAAATGGGCCAATCAAATGCTGGCAAAAAAGAAACTTGGTCACAGTGACACCGATGATGGAGAGAACGTCTTCTATGCATGGAGCTCTGAAACCAAGACGCTAACAGGTAAATGATTCTTTGCAGATAACTCCTTTGTCCACCTCTTCACCTGTCAGAAACAGGTCGCTTTGTTATCACAATGAATTAAAGTCTCACTAATCTTTAAAAGAAACAGATTCCACTGTATCTCTTCTCATTTCAAGTAAACAATTAGAAATGTTCATCCTTATTTCATTTTAAAGTTTCTGAGCTATAAAACCCGTACTCCAACCACCAAATTAACTCTTTATGTTATTTTTCTCTGTCTTCATGTTTCAGGAAAAGAAGCTGTGGATTCATGGTACAGTGAGATCAAGGATTATGACTTCAAAAAGTCTGGACATCAACCCAAGACGGGTAAAACACAGCCCTCCTGAAAAGTTCTGCATATACCTGTACTGTATATACCTGCGTTGCTAAAGTATTTGTCATTACAAGATCAGGTCATCATCAGTAAGTAGTATGTTTTTACACATTTTCCTTTTACCACTAGGTCATTTTACTCAGGTGGTGTGGAAAAGCAGCACTCAGCTGGGTGTGGGCATAGCCACTGATGGCAATACGGTCTTTGTGGTTGGGCAGTACCGCCCAGCTGGTAACATTACCAATGCAGGATACTATCAGAAAAATGTCCTCCCAAAAGGAACAGGTAACACTCACACACATTTTGATGTTCTACTTAAAGTGTTGTGTTTGTATCAGATTATTATTACAGATTAAGAAAGACGAATATATAAAGTACTAAATTTATACTTTGTCAAAAAAAAATCAAAAGTATGTGTTGATTTGTTAGTTGTTGAAGCCTACCTTGAAACATTAAAGTGAGTGATCACTTTTCACATTAGTAAATTGAACTGTGTGTTCACAGAACTTTCCTCCACAAATGAGGAAGACTCTGAAGCAGGTGAGTGCTGAAGATGACTGTAGTTACAGGACAAGATTTGAGTTTACTCTTGTTATTTAGCCCTTTATTACATTACTCTTTCATCATCACATAATATCTGAGCACGTGGATGATTCTTTTTCATGTTGTTTGCAATCATTTCGTGGATTGCTGCTTATTATTTTCACTCTCCCTATTTTATCTCAGGTTGCAAAGCAGCAAACCAGGTGACAGGTAAGTGCACTGACAGTGTTGGGAATGTTACTTTTAAAATGTATTCCACTGCAAAGAGAATACATGCACTAAATGTAGTTTGTAAAGTATTCTGTTAAGTTACTCAATGTGAGTAATGTATTCTGAATACTTTTGATTACTTGTGATGCTTTTTACAACTACATGGAGCTGTTTTGCAAAGAAGAATGGGCAAGGATTTCAGTCTGTAGATGTGCAAAGCTGGTAGAGACAGACCCTAAAAGTCTGGCAGCTGGAACTGCAGCAAAAGGTGGTTCTACAAAGTATTGACTCAGGGGGCTGAATAATTACGCACACCCCACTTTGCAGTCATTTATTTGTAAAAAATGTTTGGAATCATGAATGATTTTCGTTCCACTTCTCACGTGTGCACCACTTTGTGTTGGTCTTTCACGTGCAATTCCAATAACATTGATTCATGTTTGTGGCTGTAATGTGACAAAATTTGGGAAAGTTCAAGGGGGCCGAATACGTTTGCAAGCCACTGTATTACTATTACTGAAGGCTATTTGCCACCGAGCTAGCATTGCTAGCTGGCATTAGCTGAGGTTAGATTATAGACTGATTTCAGAACTGCACAGCTGGCAGGTTGTTAATACTAGCCATCAAGTCTAACAGTCTGCAGTCTATGAACTAACCTCAGGTAGCACCAGCTAAAAATGTTAGCTCAGTGGAGAGTAGCCTTCAGTAATAGTAATACATCACACAGCAGAAGTACATCGAAGATACTGAAGTGGCACATAACCGAGCTAACTACTCAACTAAAACAAGGTACTTGCAGTAGACTAACGATAGTTTTTAAAAAAGAACTTACTTCCAGATGTTTCTTTAGGTTGGAGTCTTTTGACGCTGACAGCAGCTTGGCTGCTAGCAAACAGAGTTTGCATTGCACGGTCAGATTTCATCCCTTTCTTCTTTAAATGTAAAACGGTGTCGGAATTTCCAAGTAAGAAATGCATTCCTGCTCGTGCACTGCTGGCTCTGTTGTGCAGGCTCCGGGTCCATTGTGTAACTGATGCCACCAACATTAACAGGTTAGCCTACACTAGAGCCTCTTATATCATATTTCGTCTGGGTTCCCAGCAATGCAAATTACCAAATTTTCACAGGGAATAGAGAGGGGATAGCCTAACATATGAAACAGGAACTGACCCCCATGTAATCCATTTATTCAACAAAGTAACTGCATTCTAATTATTGCCTATTTAGATGGTAACTGTAACGGAATACAGTTGATCATATTGTGTATTTTAAATACGTAATGTCGGTAAATGTATTCCGTGACTCATCAACACTGTGCATTGAATTATTTGTCAGAATAACCGATCACTTTTAAAGATGTTGCTTAATTAGAGAGCATTCTTCATCCTGTCTACACCTACAACCAATAAACATGCCACCTCATGTTTCCTCTAAGACTTAAAGCTTGTTTGGTTTGCAGATGAGAGCTTCAAAAAGGAGTTTCTTCATACCCACAATGCCTATAGGGCACAGCATGGTGCACCACCACTGACCTTTAATACTGAGCTGGATGACGCAGCTCAAAAATGGGCCAATCAAATGCTGGCAAAAAAGAAACTTGGTCACAGTGACACCGATGATGGAGAGAACGTCTTCTATGCATGGAGCTCTGAAACCAAGACGCTAACAGGTAAATGATTCTTTGCAGATAACTCCTTTGTCCACCTCTTCACCTGTCAGAAACAGGTCGCTTTGTTATCACAATGAATTAAAGTCTCACTAATCTTTAAAAGAAACAGATTCCACTGTATCTCTTCTCATTTCAAGTAAACAATTAGAAATGTTCATCCTTATTTCATTTTAAAGTTTCTGAGCTATAAAACCCGTACTCCAACCACCAAATTAACTCTTTATGTTATTTTTCTCTGTCTCCATGTTTCAGGAAAAGAAGCTGTGGATTCATGGTACAGTGAGATCAAGGATTATGACTTCAAAAAGTCTGGACATCAACCCAAGACGGGTAAAACACAGCCCTCCTGAAAAGTTCTGCACATACATGTACTGTATATACCTGCGTTGCTAAAGTATTTGTCATTACAAGATCAGGTCATCATCAGTAAGTAGTATGTTTTTACACATTTTCCTTTTTCCACTAGGTCATTTTACTCAGGTGGTGTGGAAAAGCAGCACTGAGCTGGGTGTGGGCATAGCCACTGATGGCAATACGGTCTTTGTGGTTGGGCAGTACCGCCCAGCTGGTAACATTACCAATGCAGGATACTATCAGAAAAATGTCCTCCCAAAAGGAACAGGTAACACTCACACACATTTTGATGTTCTACTGCTTCTACTTATAGTACAAAGGTGAAAATTAGTAAAGTCAGTTCACATGGAAATGTCTATATGTTAGACCTAAAGTTTCTCTAAACCTACCTTTTTATGTCCCAGGCTGCTTTCAATCAAAACAAAACATACTATTACTCCTACAGCTGACTCTGGACATCAGAATAACATTTGCACAGCTCACTAATATTTCCTGTTATTTCCTAGAGTAAAACTTTCCCAGTGTCAGAGAGGGAGCTGCAGCAGACAACAGACCTCAGTGCCCAGAGAAAATGACCTGGACCGTATTGGACCCATCACATGTGGTTTCCTTCAATGTTCCGAGATTGAACACCAAAAAATACGCCTGTCGCATCAAACACGATTTTACACAACTGTCTAGTCAAATACTGTCTAAGTAGAATTGGTGTTTTGATCATCTGAGTGAATAATTTTTGAGTAATGTTTCAATGATTTGAGTGCAGTACAAATAAAAACAAAAGTCTTTGTTGTCCCCACACGATAATAACTAAAGAATTTTTTGAACTGAAGTTCATTTCACAAAGTAGCTCCTCCTTTTCACTCAGGGAACAACTGTACATTACACAAATGAACAGAAACTTAGCAGTTAGCTGCTTTTAATATGGGTTAAGTCAGAAAGAAAGATTGTTGCACTACAATAACAAAATTAATTTGAACTGAGCCAATTAAAAAAAATGACTGATGATCAACAAGACATATTTAACTCTACTCAAGTTCAGTCATTTATTTACAGATTACATATTTGGTTTTTCAACTCACCTTAAGTTTATAATTAAGTTTAATTGATTAAAACATTACATTTTCACAGCACTTATATTTTACTAATTAGTTTTACATAATTCTATTTTGTCAACAGGTTCCACACAATTGAATATAGGACACCCGACATATTTTTTTAAATTTCATTTATTGCCAACACGTTTAAAACAATACCGCAGTGCCATAACTGAAACACACACTGCTGGCCCATCATGTTTACAACAGTCTGGCAACAGATTCAGCATAAAAATAATTGATGCACAATATTAACATACATCCATATCTGCCAAAGTCTTAAAAATTAAATATCTGTATATAACAAAACAAACCCCCCCCCCGAAATTAAACAAAGTACACTTCACAACATTACATATGCACATGTGCTGCAAGTGTTTACATACATTCACTCCATTCCAAATCACACTTTTCTATGGAAGCCCGTTCCACCATTAAAAAAAAAAAAAAAAAAAAAAAAAAAAAACAAGTATCCATATCCATACCTATAATTTCGAGTTACTTCTCTCAAAATCTCGAGTTAATAACTCGAGATTTTGAGTTAGCTCTTCCAATCAGTAATCGATGTGAATGAGGTCACTTTCTTGTTACCCAGAAGCATATGGCACAAAGTAACACACACTCAAAACAGGATTGCAGCAAAATGGCGCTTTTGCGAGTACGTTTGCTGATAGTAACGCCGTGTGATTCAGCTAATAACACAAGGATTCCATCATTGTTGAAGCCACGCTGAAAATACTCAGTAATCTGTTTATTCATGACTGGATGTAATACGGGTAGCTTAGCTGTAGCATTTGTACCTGAGGGCTTCAGCTTCAGGGCAACAAGGAAATTACGTCATTCAGATTACTGACTGGCAGTGCTAACTCGAAATTTTGAGTTACTTTCTCAAATTTTGAGTTAATAAGTTGAAATTTCGAGAAAATATCTCAAAATTTCAAGATATGGATCTTTTTTTTTTTGTGGCAGAAACGGGCTTCCATACTTTTTCTTTACTCTTAGTCTGTATTGTATTTGGCCATACAATTTACATAATGTTGCATGGAATATGAATACAATAGGAAGATACTACTACCTCATTTCAATATCATTTTCACCAAATTATGACATGCACACCACCCTTCAACAACGTTACAAATATTTTCTCAGTGTTGTTTTTCCCTCCCCTGCTATTTTCAGACAATCAATCATTTTATTCACTTTCAGCCTAAAATGAAATTCTGCCCATTTGACAGAACATTCAGCCTCCAAATCAATTGTTGGCCCGTTCACGCAGTTTATTCCTGAGCAGCTGTACCTTGGCATCCAGATGAAGGAAGAAATTCTGAAATTGACTATGTGCACGAGACAATGCTAACTTCCTGGTTTGAGACCGGATGTGGGTTGTGCATTTCCGGTAGCTTTACTTTGCGGTCAATCGCTACTGCGAAGATATCCTCCAAAATCATGTCCAAAACTCGAAAACGGAAAGATGGCGTTAAGTTACAAAGAGCAGAAGCTGGGAACACTCACCGCTGTTGTGTCATAAAAAATCTAATGATCAATTTTGACGTTTAAAGAGTTTAGATCGATCAGTTGTTTACGTCACTCAACACAAGCTGAATTGCATCACTGCAGCAGAAGACACATCGTCCACATTCAGAAGCACATCTCTGTGTAGTGACTGGTCTCATGATTTAAACAGGCAGATGTTCAGCATTCAATACAGGTGAAGAATAGTCAAACCAGATGTTTCCCCCATTACGTCGAGATCAGCTAGTCAAGTACACACCTACACAGCATGTTAACAAACCGTGAAAAAGCCACACAAAAATGAATGATTACTGGTAACGGTTTCTATACATTAGTATTTACGAAGGGTACGTTGTGACTTACCTTAAAAATTACAGCGGTCCCTCGCTATAACGCGGTTCACCTTTCACCTCGCTGTTTCGTGGATTTTTTAGTGCAAGTTTGCATGCTTTATTTTACGTCACATTGTGTCCTGCGTCCTGATCGCTGCAGACGATCTCCTCCGTGACGTCTCTCCTGTACAGTACAGAATCGCTGCATCGATGCTAGCAGTGTGACTGAAGTGCAGTGCTGGATGTCCACGATGTCCACGAAACGTTTTGCACCGTCAAAAAATAAAATTGGCTACTTGAGTCACTATCGCTGGTTATTTGAGAAGGGTCTGGCTGCAGCCACTGTGGAGCTCCAAAGTAACCGGATACACGTGACCTCCACACTAACCGGAAACACGTGACCTCCACACTAACCGAAACACGTGACCTCCACACTAGCCGGATACACGTGACCTCCACACTAACCGGAAACACGTGACCTCCACACTAGCCGTAAACACGCATGGATACCGTGGAAGTCTTGCAAGTTGATCACAAAGGTTGGTTAAGTCTTTCTTAAATAAATTTGCCGTTAGTGATTTCATAATTCTAGGAATCGTCTAGTTTTCTTACAATGATCACGTTGCCACTTTTTTGCGTTACAACAACATTCCTCCTTATTTTAATGTTTTTTCATCGTGCTCCATGGCAGAGAAACACACAGATATGCTTTTTCCTGGCCTGGTTTCAGTAAGAGACTGGATTAACGGCTTCTGTGGGCGAGAAGAAGCAAAAACCACATTTTGCATTAGAGTATGATTTATTGTTGGTGTCAGAGATGCAAAATAATGAATACTTCAATACTGTACTTAAGTAGAATTTTCTGGTATCTTTACTGCTGTACTTTTTTGTGCCTACTGTATACTTCTTTATACTTCTACTTCTCACATTTTAGCACGCGTATCTGTACTTTGTAATCCGTACATTTGTAAATCAGCACGCGTGCTTTGGACGCAAGATTACTTCAAAATTTTGTACAGAAATTATATTTTAGACCCTGTACTTCTTACTTCGACTTGACTAAAAGTCGAGTCAGTGCTTTCTAAACAGAGGTATCTAAACTGTAGTAAGGAACGTGTGCACTTGTGACACCTTTGGTTAGCGTCAACACAGTAAATTTCGTCACAAACAGATTTATATATTTATCAATCATTATTCTTTTCTGTACAGATTTTTTATTGCCCAGATTTTAGTTAGCCCCTGTTCAATTGACTATTATATGTCAATAGAAACATGTCTCACAATTAAGTGTCTTGTAAAATATTTGTGGGTTTTTTTTCAAGAATTTTCTTCCCAAATCTATTACATGCCAACTGTAAATTGTTATTTCTGCTAAATCCTTAACTTAAATGTATATATGGTGTTTATCTGTTTCTCTCTCTGTTTTAGATGCACTTATCAATCTGGAATTCGGGCTTAAAGCCAGAATTGCAGGAATGCAACACGTGTTGCAGAGGACTCTTTCACTGCCCTCTGTGCCCCACTTTCAGCCCTACTGTCAGGGCAAAGATTGAGGAGCATCTAAGTGTGCATATAAAAAATGCTTTGCCTTTCAAAGGTATGTTTGTATTAAATATACTTTATAGTTATAAATATGCACTTTTTTAGCACTTCTGCAGTATCTTGTTGACTTAAAAGTTGCTGTTGATATTGTACAGTTCAGTTCATTATCTGCAACAAAAATAGTGTTTTTATAAAATATTTTTATTTACTTTTCACCACTTTTCTTGACATAAGTTTTGTGATCCATACCATTTTGCTTTCATTATTGAGGTTGGCTTGGATGTTTTGTTAACATGTTACAATCTGATTGTTAGACAAATTGATTGCATTCTATACAACTACATTTAAATTACATCTGTTTGTTTGTTGTTTTTTTCTCTTACAGATAAAATGATATGCCGGGTGCAGGCTGCCTTGTAGGACAACGGACACTTTCATGCCCTGTCTGTAAGATTACAATCATACGGCGTGGGGATATGGCAAGGCATTTATTGTCTTGTCAGCATTCTTCAATGCCAAGTCAGCCACCATTATCAGGACTGCTCCCCGCTGAACTCTCCGAGGAGACCCGTATTCCTCTGGCAGTACTCTTCGAGGAGCCCGTTCCCCCCCCAAGGTTTTGTCTTCGGTATCTGAACCATTTTCTGAGTCTTTGTAGAACATTCATATGCTCTACCCTCTGTGTTCAATAAAACTGCAGCTGATGGAAAGTCCATGAAAATGACATGCCCTCACTGTGGCCTTACTCTTCATAGCTCTGGCAAGCTATTTGCACACTGGAGAGAGGAAGCCAAAGCTGTGCTTGAAGGACAACACGTGCCCATTTTCAGACTGAAAAAGCGCAAGTTCCAGGAAGTCAGTCAAGTCAGTATTCACTTTAAACAGTGGTGTAATTACATGGTTAGTGAAATTTGAATAACTGTTAAAAAACTGTTCTACAACAGAGAAATAACTATGTTTTCATCCCCATTTGCCTGACACAGGAGCCAGCAGTTGTTGAAGATCTGCGTCCTGCTGTGCAGTGGGTTGTCCAAAATAAGGCACTTTTCTGTGGACATGTAACAATGCCCAAATATGTGTCCTTAAATCAAGAGCAGAGGGTCTTAATAGACATGTCAGAGGAAGAAGACACTGGAGCAAGGGACTTGTTCCTCTTTGTTTTTCAGTTTGCAAAGGACATGGAGCTCTTTTTGAAAGCATGTGCTGATGAGCAGGGGCTAAGGGTCAGTGCTATGACATGTAATGGACAAATGAAGGGACTGGCTGTGTTTGTTTGTTTGTTTGTTTAATATGTTGTTGTTGTTGTT